GGCCTCACTTTCTGCTGCCTTGCCCCTTGCCACATGATGAATCTGGGGAATGAAATTAAGTTTAGTAACCCAACAACTTGGTATGATCCTGGCCCTAGGGCATGACTGTCTCCATGCAGTTCACTCTGGACACAGAACTAGTTTTAAAACACCCATCATAAATTTTATCTATATTTGTGTATATATATATATATATATATAATTTACATATATAATATATAATTTATTTATATATGTGTATATATGTATATGTGTGCGTGTATATATATGCACTCCAGCCACCACAGTGAGTATGACCATGGTACAAATGTGAAGGGTTTTACTCCCTATGGGCCCTGATTTTGCTTTCCTCATTAGGAATTCAGCGTTTTACCATTTCACTCGCTGCCAGTCGCTGCCCTGAACAGAAGCCTGCCATCTCAGTGGCTACACTGGTGTAGGTCCTGACATGTCCTGCTTCATGCAGGATAGCCACCCTTCCACCACCATGTCCTTCTGCACCTCTGAAGTGGAGGTAATCCCGTCCCTATAACTCCCAGGCCTATATCCATTTTCTTTTCGGTACGTGAGTAACACTTTTTTAAGGGTAAAACTATACTGTTGGTTGAAATAGGTTGAAGAGGAAAAAATTATGCAAAAAATGGCATATATATATATATATATATATATATATATATATATATTTTTTTTTTTTCGGTATGTGGGCCTCTCACTGCTGTGGCCTCTCCCGTTGTGGAGCACAGGCTCCGGATGCGCAGGCTCAGTGGCTGTGGCTCACGGGCCCAGCCCCTCCGCGGCATGTGGGATCCTCCCGGACCGGGGCACGAATCCGTGTCCCCTGCATCGGCAGGTGGACTCTCAACCACTGCGCCACCAGGGAAGCCCAAAAAATGGCATATTTTGATGACAGCTTTTTAAAGGGGAGAAAAAAATAAGAGAAAAGCCTAAAAAAAAATATGCTAGAACACTAGCACAATTTGTCCAAGGATGTTAAGATTTGGGATATTATTTCTAATCATTTCTTTACTAAGTTATGTAATTTTCCACATTTTCTAAAATTAATATATTTCAACAGTCAGGAAAAAAAATAAAGCAAAACACTAAAAACCTCTCCAAAGTCACAGCATTAAAAACAGTAAACAAGATTAAAATGGTATTAAATCATTTTATGATTTACTGGCCAGAGGCTTGTTCAAGAATATGTTATAACAGACATCTTACTGTGAAACAGTATGGCTCTGAAAAACCAGACATATGATTGTGCATATGTTTTGTTTTGTCTTTCTTCTGATTTTAGAGTTCATACATGTCCACTTTAGGAAATTTACAAAATGCAGGAAAACACTGGAAAAGAATAAACATCACCCTTTGTAAACATACTATGGCAACCATGGAGTGGTGCCTCTCTGACGGTGCAAGGAGTGGAGTGAGAGGACAGCCTCCAGTGGCCACACCTTCAGGGTACTCAGCCTCATCCACCCGAGGCCACGCCCCCAGCCCCCTCTCAGCCAATGGCTGAGCTGAGCAGGGGAGGTGGAGGTACTAGAACCAGGCCATTTCTGCCTGACATAAGACTCCCCAACTGACAAAGAGTATTCCTTTACAGTTTTGCCCCACGGCTCTGTTAAAACTCCTCTGCCTTCAGTCATAACACAGTCTAAAGTGATCTGGGCTTTCTAGCCATCTCACAGAACATTACACTGATCCATTACATCAATGACATCATGCTGAACGAACAGGTTGAGCAAGAAGGGGTGACGAATATGCTAGAGGCCTTGGTAAGACAGCTGTGCTCCACAGGGTGGAAGATAAGCTTTAGGAGACTCAGAAGCCTACTACCTGAGTAAATTTTTTAGAAGTCCAGTAGTCAGGGGTTTGCCAAGACATCCTCTCAGAAGTAAAAGACAAATTTCTGAATCTTGCATTTCCTACTTCAAAGATGGAAGCAAAGTGCTTGGTGAGCCATTTTGGATTCTGAAGGCAACACATTACCCATCTAGAAATACTTCTCTTGCCCATATACAGAGTGATATGGAAGGCTGCCAACTCTGAGTGGTGCCCTGAGTAGGAATGAGCTCTGCAGCGAATCTAGGCTGCAGTGCAAACAGATCTGCTGCTTGGGCCATGTGATTCAGGAGACCCTATGGTGTTGATGATGTCAGGGATGGAAAATGTTGCAGTGTGGCAAGCCCTGGTAAGAGAATCACAACGCAAGTCCTTGGGGTTCTGGAGCAAGGCCATGCCACTTGCAGTGGAGAATTATATGCCTTTTGAGAAATAGCTCCTAGCATGTTACTGGGCCCTGTTAGAGCCGAAATACTTGACCACAGGGCACCAAGTGACTGTTCCTTCAGAATTGCCCATTTGTCCAATTTGTTAGACTCACCAAGTCATAGAGTGGAACAGGCCCAGCAGCAGTCCACAGTAAAATGGAAATGGAATGTCTGGGATTGAGGCCAAGTAGGACTAGAAGGCATGAGCAAGGAGCGTGGGCAGGTAACCCAGACACCATGTGCCCACCATCTTTACACCAGTGCCCCTCCTTCAGCCCACTCATATGGCCACCTATGCAGGAATCTCATACAACCAGATGAAGAAGGAAGAAAAGCCAAGTTTGGGGGTGAGTTGGCTTGATACGTGAATGCAAGCTGAAAGTGGACAGCAGTTGCATTACAGCCAAATTCAGGGTTGGCCTTGAAAGACAGTGGAGATAAAAGTCTTCCCAATAAGCAGAGCTGGGAGCAGTGCATCTGGTCATTGACTTTGTGTGGAAGAAAAAGTAGCCGAAGGTGAGAAAATATACAGATTCCTCGGCAGGTGCCAATGGCCCAGCCAACTGAATAGGGGCCTGGAGGAAAATAAAAAAACTGTACTAGAGGCAAGGAGGTCTGGGATAACAGCAATTTGATGGAGTGGGCATGAATTGTGAAGATTTTTGGATCACATGTTAATGTCCATTAGAAACCACTCATGAAAGAAATACTCAACAACCAACTAGACACAAGGACTTGGCCGGTTGACATTAGTTAGCCTTTATCACAGTATGCACATGAGTGGAGTGGCCAAAATGGTAAAGATAAAGGCTACGTAGGAACTCAACAGCATATATGCCCATCACCAAGGCTGATTTGGCTATTGACACCTTGGAAGGTCCAACCTGCCAGCAACAGAGACCAACCTGAATTTCCCAAGTGGCATTAATCTTTGAGGAGACCAACCCATTATTTTATGTAAAGTAAACTATGCTGGGCCCCTTCCATGCTGCAAGAGCCAGTGGTTCATCTTCACAGGGAAAGAGAACTATTTGGAGAATGGGTTTGTTTTTCTTGCCCACATAGCCTCAGCCAACACCACTGTGTAAGAACTTACAGAATGCCTGATTCACAGGCATAAAATCCCACACAACACAGCATCCAACCAGGGGATCCATTTCACAACAGAGGAGGTATGGGGGTGGCCCCATGACCATGGGGTCCACTCATTATATCATTTACAGCACCACACAAAGCAGTGGCCTTCCATTGGTGGCCTTCTGAAGGTACAACTGAGGTGCCGTCTTGGAGACAATAATCTGCAGAAACGGGGTGCCTTCCTTTGGGATGCAGTATAGACACTAAATCACAGAACTTTATACAGTGACGTGTCCGTTAGAGGAAACATAAGCAACTGAGACCTAAGGGGTGGAAACAGGAGGGGCCTCACTTAACCATCAAACCCAGTGACCCACTGAGGGACTTTGTGCTTTCTGGGCAACTCTGGGCTTACACAGTTGCAGTCCCAGTATCCAAAGGGGCACACTCTTGCCAGCGGACACAGCAAGGGTCCTATTGAACTATAATACATGCTATGGCTACTGCCAGGGCACTTTGTAAATTTATTTATTTATTTACTTTTGGCTGCGTCGGGTCTTTGTTGCTGCATGCCGTCTTTCTCTAGTTGTGGAGAGCAGGGGCTACTCTTCGTTGCAGTATGTGGGCTTCTCATTGCGGTGGCTTCTCTTGTTGTGGAGCATGGCCTCTAAGCACGCAGGTTTCAGTAGTTGTGGCTCGCAGGCTCAGTAGTTGTGGCTCACGGGCTCTAGCGTGCAGGCTCAGTAGTTGTGGTGCATGGGCTTAGTTGCTCCGTGGCAACTAAGATGTGGGGTCTTCCCGGACCAGGGCTCAAACCCGTGTCTCCTGCATTGGCAGGTAGATTCTTAATCACTACGCCACCAGGGAAGTCCCTTCCAGGACACTTTGGATTCCTTGGACTCATACATCAGCAGGTGAAAAGAGTTACCATCATGGCAGGGATCCGTGGACCCATACATCAGCAGGTGAAAAGAGTTACCATCATGGCAGGGATAATTGACCCTGACCAGCAGGACCATGAGACAGGATTGCTCATCTTATGCTTGCACATGAGAGCAGGGCAGAGTAATGTACAAATCAGATAATCCAACTAGATTCTTCTTGATAGCCCTTGCTCAGCTGAAACAGTGAACAGACATGTGCAGCAACCCCAGACTGAAATGGGTACAAGGGCTCAGTCCCTGCAGGAATGAGAATTTGGGTCACAACACCAGATAAGTCATCAAGACTTTCCCTCAGGAAGAGAGGCCCGCAGTTCCTCAAATATTTGGAGCAAAGGATCTGTGCAGCACAAGGGATGGACTGGAGAAGCCATGGGGGTGCACTACTCAGATCTCCCTTCAAGAGAACCTGCAGCAATGAGTGTAGTTAACTGTCCATGCTGGAGCCTCTGCCCAGGCTGCACCCAGCCAGTGACTGAGCATGGTGAGGGTCCTAGACACAGTCCATTTCTGGCTGATGCAGGACTCATCCTATGGGCAACCTTTACTCCAGGGTTGACTAACTTTCTCAGAGCTGTGCTGCAGTTTCTGAGGCTCTCCCACCCAGTCTTCCTTCCCCCTCTCCTTTCACAGGTGTTGGACCAGCATCACAGTTGGAAGCCTCTCCCTGCACACTCCAACCCCCTCTCCCTTTAATCCGTCACAGGCATTTTCCTCAATGAGTCTCTTGAATTTCTAATTCCATCTGGCATCTGTTTCCCAGAGGACCTGAACTGACATATCGGTGTACAAGAATAAACATTATCAAGTACTGTAAAGTATTTGCTTTGAGTCATAAAGTATTTATTGATTTGAGACCACACTATACTGAATTAGTGCCCATGTATGAGAGATTCCCAAGGCTACAAGCTGTTCAGGCTAGGGCACATAAAAGCACCCTAATTCCCTTGACACCATGTGGCTGAGTTATCAGTTTCCCCCTTTGCCTTAGCTCTCTTGCCAGTGCCACATGTTTAATATTTCAGGGTAAATCTTTTCAACTTCCAACGTGGGTTCTCTATTACCACAATATCTGAATTATTTGGCCCAAAGTTTACTGTTGATCTTACATTAAGTAATGCAGAACTGGGGCTAGCGAGCGGCTGTAGTCACAAGCGCGTGATATTTTACATTTATTCCTGGTTCACGATGCAGAAAGACTCTACTTTCACTTTTTAAAAGTTATCAAGTTATTAACTTGGAGCTCAAGACTAGGCTGCAGCTCAGGAATAGAAGTGGAATCTAGAAACAGGTGGGCAAGAGTCAGAGACTCAGATGGGGGTCAGGGGTGGAAGGAGGAATGAAGTGTAGGACGAGGGTGTCTATTGCCCACATTATCTGGTAATATAAAATAAAGCTGAATGTTTAACAGATTTTTTTTTAACTGCAAAGCTTTGCACACATACAAAGTTGGAACTGCCACAATTTTTACATGAGACACATTTAACTGTACGTGGGCCAAAGATTTCAATTAATTTGGAAGGTTTATATTAATAATACATTTGTAGGGACTTCCCTGGTGGTGCAGTGGTTAAGAATCTGCTTGCCGGGCTTCCCTGATGGTGCAGTCGTTGCGAGTCCGCCTGCCGATGCAGGGGACACGAGTTCGTGCCCCGGTCCGGGAAGATCCCACATGCCGCGGAGCGGCTGGGCCTGTGCGCCATGGCCACTGAGCCTGCGCGTCCGGAGCCTGTGCTCCGCAACGGGAGAGGCCACAACAGTGAGAGGCCCGCATATCGCAAAAAAAAAAATAAAAAAAAAGAATCTGCCTGCCAATGCAGGGGACGCAGGTTCGAGCCCTGGTCCGGGCAGATCCCACATACTGTGGAGCAACTAAGTCCGTGCGCCATAACTACTGAGCCTGCACTCTAGAGCCCGCGAGTAACAACTACTGAAGCCTGCGAGCCTATAGCCTGTGCTCCGCAACAAGAGAAGCCACAGCAATGAGAAGCCCGCACACCGCAATGAAGAGTAGCCCGCGCTTGCCGCAACTAGACAAAGCCCATGCGCAGCAACGAAGACCCAAGACAGCCAAAACACCCACAAATTAATTAATTAAAAAAATATATATTTGTAGAATTACTGACAGGTTCTATTTCTGTTGATCATTTTATTTTTTTTCTCCAATTACTGCAGTAAGACCATATAAATTTTAATTTTGGCCCTCTCTTGTTTTTTTATTGGAGTATAATTGCTGTACAATGTTGTATTAGTTTCTGCTGTACAGTGAAGTGAATCAGCTATATGTATACATATATCCCCTCTCTAGGACCTCCCTCCCACCACCCGCTATCCCACACATCTAGGTCATCACAGAGCACTGAGCTGAGCTCCCTGTGCTATACAGCAAGTTCCCACTAGCTATCTATTTTATGCATGGTAGTGTATATATATCAGTTCTAATCTCCCAATTCCCACCTCCCCTTCCCCCCCTGTGTCCACCCTTCCATTCTCTACATCTGCAGCCTTCTCCTAATTCTTTGCAATCCCCAAATTCTTTTCCCAGGGGGAGATTGTTCTAAGTAGACAATGGGCTCTTTTATCTGAACAGGGTTGATTGAGGTCAAAAAAGATTGAGAATATCCATCCAAGAGACTTTCAGTTGTGCCTTTCTAAGTATTTTATCACTATCCTTTAAACAGACTTGTACTGGGGACTTCCCTGGTGGTGCAGTGGTTGAGAATCCGCCTGCCAATGCAGGGGACGCAGGTTCGATCCCTGGTTGGGGAACTAGATCTCATATACATGCTGCAACTAAGTGTTCATATGCCACAACTAAGGAGCCTGCAAGCCACAACTAAGGAGCCCACCTGCCACAACTAAGACCCGGCACAACCAAAATAAATAAATTAAAAAACAAAAACAGAACAGACTTGTACTGGAAGAGGATTAAGTTGTACTCACTGGTATTATGGAAGGCCCCAGTATGATGCATTCTTTCCATTAAAGCCCTGCCCTGTTTGTGACTGGTCTTCTCTGTGGTAGCCCCCAGATACCTGCTGCTGGAGGGACATGTGAATCACAACCATATCTACTGCATGGCAATGCTCCCTCCATTTTTGAATATGAGAATATCTTTCTCCTACTATGGCCTGCCCATAATCTACCCTTGTTGGAATCATCAGGAAACTGGGAGGTCTCATCAGCCCTGCTGCTGCCGGGGCTGAGACCTCTAACTGCCCAAATGCTGTGTTCCCATCAGAAAAGGAAACTGGGGGTGAACTGATACTTGGTGACCTGACCATGTGATGATGTCCGTGTCCACTCTTAGGCTCAGTCTTCCTCGTACAGACACTTGGGGTTCATGAACAAGTCCCCTGAACGCTGTTCATGTGCAGAACTCATAGGCCATCATTCTTTCCATCTTAGCCTACATGCTTTTGGCTCAAGGTCCTCTGGTGTTCACTTCCCAAGGGCCTGGCCAGTCACTTCCCCAGGGCACAGCCCCTACCAGCTTGTCTGGATTGCAATGAGAACAGGCAGCTGCCATCTTGGGCTTCCTGACCAAAGTTCTTTAACCTCCATTTCCCTTCTCTGGACTCTGAGGACAGAGTCACTGTCTCCCTCTCTCAGTTACTAGGGACACTTCTTTTAGGTGAAAACCCTACCCAGTTAGATGCTACAATTACTAATAAATGAAAAAACAGGAGAAATACAAAACTGCATTTACAATTTAACCTGAGCTAGGTAAAGAAAAGGAATGTAGAAAGAAAGTCCTGGAAGGAAACATGCCAAAATATGAATAAATGCTCCTCCTGGGTGCCAGGATCGTGGTTCATATTTTTACTGCCTCTTAGCAGCATTATGTACTTTCCCAATTTTCTGCAGTGGCCACGTATCTTTGATCAGCAGGAAAAAAATGGTGTAAGATCCTAGGAAACAACACAAAATATAGTGTTGAAAATCACTGTAAACCAGATAAATTTGTAGTGGCAGAGAATGTGCACAGATATTAGAATTTAGACCCTTGTCGCTAACTGTGGTCATGTAACTACAGTGTGGCCAGTGGAATGTGAAAAGAGGTGTGTGCATTTTCCAGTGGTTGTCTCTAAAGGGACATGGCATGCCTTTCCCCCTCCTTCTCTCCTGATGGTTGGAAGGTGGAAGTAAGAGAGAATGAGGCTCAGAGATGGGAGTGGGAGTCAAGGGTAGTTGACTCTCAGAAAAGAGGGTGGAGTTCAGGGATGGGAGGAAGAATAGGGTAAAACCCATGAAGGGGTGAGCCCTAGAGATGGGCTGAGGCTCAGGGCTAGAAAGAGGCTGAGATGTAGGCCAGAAGTAGTGAAGAGATGTGTGGAAACACCCTGTTTCACACACTGAGATCAGTTTCATATTCTACTCAGTAATTAGAAAAAAAACAACATAGAAAGTCTGTTTTAGGCCCACATTTGATAAGACTGTCCTGGCAGTGATATCGAAATGTCACGCTCCATTCCAATTTCAACTCATTAAAACAGAAGTGGACTGTTTTGTCAGTGGACTATGTGCGGTTCAAGAGCAGCTCGAGCACCCTTCAGAGGAAGATGAGAACCTTGCTGGGCATGACACAATGCTCAATTCTCAGCCAGGAGTCAAGGTTGGGAAAAAGCAGAAGAATGCAGGGAAGGGCTGGCAGAAATCATTCTAGGGAAAAGGAAACACTTTTCTTCTTTGGAAGAAGGCAGGGGTAGGGGAAAGAAATCATGTTTTGAAGAGAAGAGAGGAAAAATTGGTCAAGTCCTCTAACAGATTTAAAGGTATTCTTTTTTTCTTTTTAATTTTTATTGGAGTATGGTTGCTTTACAATGTTGTGTTAGCTTCCACTGAAGATATTCTTAAACATATTGGCTTCACACTATTTCCCCAGCCCTGTTCTAATTTCTCTGTCTATTCCTATTATGTGATTCTATGAGTTCTTGTTAGAATCCGCTTCCAATCATTAGCAGCATGAAGAGGAATCTGGCGTCTTAACCAACCAACCAACAACCAACCAATATATGTGCTTAAATAAAACCAAAGAGACATATAAAATGCAGTCTTGATTATATTTTAGTGGTAAATTAGAGTTTTGAAGTTATATTAACTCTGTTAATATGGGCAGCGACTTAATATTCTAAAAAAATAACTTACTACCGAATATCAGGGTAATACTGTAAGGCAAAGAGCAATGACATGTTGAGTTTTACATAAAAATACGGTAAATTATCCCCATCCTCCAGCCCCCGCCTCCACAGCTGGTTAGCCACTGGAGTGGTGGTCATCAAAAATAATAATAGTAACAATAAGGCTTCCCTGGTGGCGCAGTGGCTGGGAGTCCGCCTGCCGATGCAGGGAACACGGGTTCGTGCCCCGGTCCGGGAAGATCCCACATGCCGCGGAGCGGCTGGGCCCGTGAGCCATGGCCGCTGACCCTGCGCGTCCGGAGCCTGTGCTCCGCAACGGGAGAGGCCACAACAGTGACAGGCCGGCGTACGGCAAAAAAAAGAAAAAAAGTAACAATAATAACTACATGTGTTGGGTACTTAAGAGTCATTTAATTCTTACAACAACTGTATGAACTAAATATTATTAGTTTTATTTTTTAAATGAGGAACGTGAAACTTAGAGATTAAGTAGCCTCAATAATTGGTAGACATGGGAAAAACCAAGGCCAGATAAGGCTGACGCCACAGCCTGGACCATTGACCTCTACAGCTCTGCTATC